GCAGCAATGGAGTAAACGGCAGGGGGGGGACCCAGACCTGTCATGCGGGATTAATGAGTGGAGGAAAAAGGGGGAATCCACAGCAAAACTGCTCTGTTGGTGTCAGGTGTTTAAATTTATAGTCTGGGGTATCGTTACAGAGCTTCACTGTGTTTCCTAAGGCTGTGGCAACCTTCTTGTCCCAAATTACCCAGTCTTTTGATCTCTAGGTCCCTGTGGCCCATCCTGCAAGGAGCAAAGAACTTTCTAAAATGTGTCCTTGGGTTTTAAGGGGATTTGAAGCCTTGTTCTCTGGCGAGGTGCAAATTATCATCACCAATGTCCATTCTAGGCATGTCTCAAGAATCAAGGGTTTCTTACCTTCCTTCTTACTTGGTGAAATATCCAGAAACCCTCAGAGAGAGGGGCACAACTCAGACACGGTGGTGGGGATTGTTTTTTGGGCTGTGAGCGGCTGCGACTGGGGAAATGAAGACTTTTTGGGAGACAAATACCCAGGCTTGAGCGAGCTGTGTTCAGAAATACTCTCACGAAATGGATTTGTGTTGTTGTTTGATCTTGAAGCGCATCCTTGCTCTGCCTTCGCAAGCCCTGGTGCTAATATGGCACAGCCGGAAAATCGGGGCTGCGCGGCGACTATCGAGACGTCAAGGGGATGATGGCGATGGCGTAGTCGTGAGAAAAAGCTGACTCACAGCCGAGGAGCCACGGGGTTGGATTGTGGAGGTTCAACGCTTGCCCTCTCCTCATGGTTTAGTTGTTCCACAGGGCCTCCCTGGGGTTGGAGCTGCTGCCCAGGAGAGGCGAGCGCCAGCGGTGAGCGGCAGCTTGGGCAGGGACGGGGTCCTGGCTCTTTGCTGTTTCTTTTCATATTCAGGCTGTGGGACATGGGTACCTCTTGTAGAGCCATGTTGTAACCTGCTCTAGGAAGAGCTATCCCTGTGGAGATGCATTTCCCTTCATTGTAGTGGTGCTCGGAAGGCACGGTGGTTAAACACGTCGCGCTCGGAGTGGAGGGATGAGCCGTCGTACCTCCGAAAACAGGCTCCTCTGGCCACTCAGCCCCGAGCTGGATCACCCCCACAGGCTCCAGCTCTGGAAACTTCAGAAGGTTCAAATGTTAAAAAGCCAAATGTAAAAGAGTGCTAATACTTTGCTAAGCAGTTATGTGGGAGAATAGCTGTTTGCCTTGTCCTTTCACTGTATATAAGTATATACATATATCTTTTATAACAGGTTATAACTGCCAGCAAGTGTTTCTGATTAAATCTGTGATTTCCCCCTCTCCAGGCTGCTGATTTACGGCAAGTACTGCAGCCACATGGAGTACGCCCAGAACACGCTCAACCACCTCCTCGCCAACCGGGAGGACGTCAGGCAGAAGGTGGAGGTGAGCGGGCGCTGGGGCCGAGAGCCGCCCACCCCCATCGTCGCGGGTTCTGAAAGGACTTCTTGGAGCTGAAGGCGTGTTGGGAACGTTTGATTTAGCAGGAGAGGGGAGGGACGAGGGGGTGAGCCTGTGCTGCTCAGCGAGGGAGCAGAGCTGGGGGTTATCTTGTCCTCATACCCTGCTTGCCCCTGCATCTCCACCCCGAACACACTCTCTTGTCCTCCCTTCCCTGAGTTTATCCAACATAGAACAAACCGGATTGCTTTATTGGAGTGGAGCTGGCTGTGGACAAATTCCTCTTCAAGTTGTGCAGGGAGACCCAAAGGCACCGAGCATCTCCGAACTGGGAGCTGGTGGCTTTTCAAGGTCACCTGCAGCATCGGGGACAGTCGGCAGCGAGCTCCCGTCCCCAGGCGAGCACCCGGATTACCACCCTGGCCTCCTTCCCCAGCGTAAAGGCTTCGTGTAAATAGGGGCTGATCCAGATATTAAGTAAATCAAAGGAGCCCCAGGATGCATTGTTTGAGCTGCTGTTTTTACCCGACTTTAATTCCTGCTTTGGTCTTGATGCTAATCTGAATTTGCTGGGCTGTCTGTACGCGTTACCTTGTTCTCTGCAAACGCTCTTTGATTTTCCGTGCAAAAGTAGCAACTCAGTTCAGGGATAAAACTGCATTTAATAATTTTTTAAAACACGTTTTCTGGATCTTGCATCAAGCCAGTTGCTCCTGTGCTCTTCACAGAATCCCAGCATGGTGGGGGTTGGAAGGGACCTCTGTGGGTCACCCAGTCCAACCCCCTCCCCAAGCAGGGTCACCCAGCGCAGGCTGCACAGGACCGCGTCCAGGCGGGGCTTGAATATCCCCAGAGAAGGAGACTCCACAACCTCCCTGCGTCGCGTGGGCTACGGCTCCGTCACCCTCAGAGGGAAGAAGTTCTTCCTCATGTTCAGCTGGAACTTCCTCTGCTTCAGTTTGTGCCCGTTGCCCCTTGTCCTGTCACTGGGCACCACTGCAAAGAGTCTGGCCCACTCTTCCTTTCTCTCCCTCCCTCGTGGCAGCTCCGCTCATCTTCCCGGGGGGGCACACAGGGGGTCTCAGCCAGCCCAGCGAAGCCACGTAGCTCGGTGGGTCTGGGCAAAGGTAGCAGTCGCAAAACTTCCTGCAGTCACATTCGCTCATCTTCATGACCGAGTGCTTATCAGCGAAGCCGCAGCCGCTCTCTGCGTGCTTGCTCCCAGCCCCTCGCAAATAAAATGCGTTAGTTCCAACCACGGAGCAGGTGAGTTAAGCTGATGCGTTTCATTTGACATTTCCCGAGGTTGGAGAGCATCGGTGTGCTCTGCTCGCGAGCAGTGTCTCATTACACTGGAAGAGCTCAGTTGCATGAGAATGTCTGTATTTTTAGGTCCAGCCCCTGTGTTTTATTCCTGGATAACCTCTGTGGTGGGGCCCTGGCTGCGGCTGGGTGCATGCAGGGACCGTGAGCCATTGCTCCCCCGAACTGAGTTTACAGAGGCAAAACGTTACAGTCACAGGACATTGGAGGCGGTTTCGGGGGGGGGGGAGTTGTTTTCCCTCAGCTGCTTCACCACTGATGTGTTGATTTCTTTACTAGGAATGCACACTAAAGGTTCAGGACGGGAAATTTAAATTGCAAGATCTACTGGTGGTTCCCATGCAGAGAGTTTTGAAATATCATCTCCTGTTAAAAGTAAGTGTTTCAGCATTGGCACTTATCGCCAGCTGCCATCCTGGCTGTAGCATCTTTCGGCTTTTACAGTAGAGAATGAATCATTGCCAAATGCAGAGTGAGGGATTTTTTTTTTTTTTTTGTTCCCCCTTCAAACATAATAATTACTAGATCCACTTAACACGACATAATATTTGTGCCGTCTCTTAAAGTACGGTGACCCAGGGTAATTCTGCACTTGTTAGCAACGAGAGGCAGTTAATGAATATAAAATAAGCTTGCATTTAACCTGATTATGTGTGAAATTCCTCCCGTCAACTCCGTGTAACGGATCTCTCGAGCACCAGCCACTTGGCGTCTTCCCCGTCCTACGGCTGGCGGCGCGCGCC